CTAATGTGATCAAGCCACTGGACCTGATCAATTCATAGGGGAAGGAGTAACATTTAAACATCACCAGGGGGGGCCGGCCCAGTGGCGCACTGCTACAGTGCGCCGCTTGGGAAGCGCGGCGGCGCTCCCGCCTAGGGTTCGGATCCCACATACAGACCGGCCGCTCATTGGCTGAGCGAGGAGCGGGGGCAACACCGAGGGTTGCGATCCCGTTGCCGGTCCCGGTCCGGTACGGGCGCGACACTGAGGGTTGCGATCCGTTGCCGGTCACGAAAAAAGACAAAAAGACAAAAAAAATAAAAAAAATAAAAAAATAAAAAAATCACCAGGGGGATGTGATAATCAAAATCCAGACTGTGGGTAACTGTCAGATAAATGGCCTGGATTCTTCAACACATTGCAAGAAAAAAAATGATGGCATGAGAATCTATAGATTAAGCAATTTAAGAAACCTATCAATCAATTGCACTGACTATCAATCTCATTAAATCTTGATTAACAATAAAACAGATTAAAAAGATAGAAACTTTTAAAAACTTATAAAACAGTAGGGAAAATTTGAACCTCAACTAGGTATTAAAGAATTAAAGTGAAATTTGAAAGGTATGATATGGTTTTATGGTTATGTTTAGAAAAAGAATCATTAATTCTTAGAGATGTATGTTGAAATATTTATGAATGAAACATGATGAGCTCTGGGATTTATTTCAAAATAATCCAAGGGAGGGGAAAGTAGGTAGAGGTATAGAAAAAACGTGATTAGACATAAGTTAATAATTGTTGAGTATGGGTAATGGAAAAAAAGTAATTTATCCCATCTTCTTTTCTTTTATACTGTCTGAAATTTTTTTATTAGAAAAAACCTTAAAGGTAATTAAAAAAAAAAAAAGTTCCCATAAGATTGTGATGTAAAACCAGGTTTGGGAACCACTGACCAACACTGATCAAGGCTGAGACACCTCAAACCATTAAAACTGTGAAGGATATTTGGCTTTTGAAGTTTTGAAGTGCTTGAAATATTTCTTCATATGTCTGCTTGAATGAGTGTGTGGTAAGGTACCCTTTGTCAAGTCTATCACTGAAGTAAAAACCTCTTCACAGATCAATGGCTCTCAAACTCAGGCTTGCCATTAAAATCAACTGAGAAGATTAAAATATTACCAATTTCCAGGCTCCACACCATAACTATTAAATCAGAAGCTTAAAAGCTCTCCAACTATGCAGTCAGGATGAAAACCGTTGCTCTAGATGACCCTGCTGCTCGAAATATGCAGCAGCATCACCTGTAAGCTTGTAAGGAAAGCAGATTCTCAGGCTTCACCCCACCTACTGAATCAGAATCTGCACTTTAACAAGATCCCCAGGTGATTTAGATGCACTTTAAACTGCAAGAAGCACTGCTTTAGGTGGTATCTTACAAACAGGCCACTGGTTCTCAACCTTTTCTGGACAGTTGCCTGTGGAGTTGCTTACACTGGATTCGCAGCTCCTTCCTCAGTGGCTTATGCTACAAAGCTAGAGAGGGCCTCATTGTTTTAAAAACTTGCATGTCTTCCCCAACCAGTAAGGTTGAATATTTTACAAAGTTCGTTAACCAGTTAATTTTCTCTTATAAGTAGTCTTTCAACAACAAAAAAAGTCAGAACCAAGTGTGTTAGCAATGTACCATCCACCACTCAGCAGAGGAGGCTCACAGAGACGCAGGGTGCTGCCATCAGTGAGGGGTGTTTACGAGGTCCTCTCTTGTCCCAACAAACTCAAGTCCACTGTGAGACTCACAATGTCTACAAGCAATTACTCTTCCCTCCTTAGAAAGTAAGGATTAATCATTAAGATGAGTTTAGAACACAAGGTGAACAGCTGCTCTAAATACAGGCCAAGCTGTATGATCTACTCAGGCACAACCTTAGTTAGGGTGAGGGAACCCCTGAGCCACAATGTCCTCCTGCAGCAGCCTCTTAGGTCCCTCCTGGCCGCACACACCCCACAGGAATAAGTGCTATGGAGAAAGCAGATCAGGCAAGGCTTTCCTTCCTATGCCTTCACAGGGAGGAGAGATGAGAGAAAGGCTCTTCAGGAAGAGAACGAAAAAAGAGAAGGCATCGACCTGTGGCACTGAACAGCCAGCTCGGCCTTGGGGTAAGGAGATACTCAGTTTCTTATTCTTATCCCACTGACAAGAGCACCCCCAACCCCAGCTACTGATAGGGTTTTCATTCATTCATTCATTCATTCCTTCTCCTATTTGTTGAGCACCTCCTAGAAGTCAGGCTCTGTGCTTGGTATGATGTAACGACGAGCAAAAACAGAGTGTCCTTGATTTCACAGAGTTGTGGGTTGCAGAAACAAATAATATTAGCCAAATGATGATACAAATAAAAACAAACTCATGAAGGCAGGGGAAGTGCTATGAAGAGAGGCATACAGTGCAACAAAGGCTGTCATGAGGAGACCTGGCCTAGTCTTGGTAAGGTTCCATAGTAAAGCAGCACCTGAGCTGCGATTTGACCGATAACATGGACTTAACTGTTCGTGGGCAGCTAAAAGCAAAAGGTGCCTACAGACAGGAGATGGCTAGGCAAGGCCTGTAGCAGGGAGGTCGGTGTGGCTAGAGGGACATGACACAAAACTGGAGAGGTAGGCGGGAGTCAGACCCTGAACGGCCTTGGAGTGCTTGTTAAGGGTTCTGTTCTATACCAAGGACTGGGAAGGCACTGAGGCAGGGGATGAGCGTGATCAGATGCAGCTGTGCAGAGACCGAGGCGGGGACCAGAGCAGACAGGGGGAGACCCTGTAGACAGCTACTATAGAAATCTAGGGAGAAACAATACACAGCTTTTCCTTTATCCTCCCCATGGGACAGAAAAGCAGTGGGTGGTGGGAATTTGGTGGAGGGAGGGGGGCGGTTAGGGCAGTCCAAGGGGTGTGTGCCTGTGCTGAGCACTCTGAGTTTGAAAATCCTTTTAAAGCTCCATTCTTCCCATTTACCACTTATCAAAAGCTCCCCACTCTGTCCTCTCTACAAGGTGTATCTTTGATGTGCTGACACAAATACCAACAAATCCGTATGTAGCAGGATTTTTAAAAAACAATTCTGGGAATGAGGATGCCTTATATTAGTGTCAACATTACACTGCAAACTATCACCTCCTGGGAGCAGAGCTTTCTAAGCTCTTTCTGAGCAACAGCTAGCTTTCCTGTTTCAAGCTTTATGCCTGAGAAAGAGGAAGGTGGGGGGTGCACACAGTGAAGTTCTGGGTCCCTCCCTACTGCCACCATAGCTCATGCTGTCACTGAGGGGTGGGGGTGGCTACCCCTTTAAATGTTCGACATTGATCAAAATCAAAGCTGACCTGAAGAGGCCTGTCAGAATTGTGAATACAAAAAGCTTTACAAAAACACAACACTTTATGAAACTGTTAGTGGGGTGCTAGGGAGTATGTTCCCAAATGATAAGATTCAAGTTTCTAAAAACAGACCCTGCAGTCCTCATTTAAAAAGGTAGGTCACATGGCATTCCGCCTCTGCTCACATTCCCCCTCATGGAGCTCAGAGCCAGAGTCAGAGCCTGGGGCCCTCACAGTGCAGCCCCCTCCCCTCCTCCCTGACCTGACCTCACCTCCCACTACTCTTCCTTTGCTTGCTGCCTTCACACAAACCTTGGCCCTACCACTCTTCCCTCACGTACCCTCCATTCAATCCTTCACCTCCTTCCAGGCTTTGCCCCAAGGCTACTTGCTGACCAACCCTCCCGAGCACCACCTTTGGCACTCCCTAAACCCCTGCCTGATTTGTTTCTCCCACAGCACTTATCTTTTAACATATTATAATTTACTTCTTTATTCTATCATCGCCTTCCTCCCACTAGAATGGGAGCTCTGTTCACCACAGTGTCTCTGTCTGGCACACAGTAAGCACTCAAAATTTTTTCTTGAATGAATAAATAAAGTGCACAGTAAAGGATATAAAATACACAATATAAATTCAGAAACACTTCTAAAAGTTTTAAACTTAAGATTATAAATACAATAATGGCAACAACAACAAAAAGATACAAATTCACTTGTGAGTATTTTAAAAGACCCTTTAAGACTTTCTTTAAAGGGCCGGCCCGGTGGCGCACTGGATAAGTGCGCCGCTTGGGAAGCGCGGCAGCGCTCCCGCCCGGGGGTTCGGGGCCCACCTACAGAC